TTGGATCGTTGATTATGTACCTACTTTAAAATTTATCTTATTTAATAATATATCCAACATAATTTGTTTTATATAATATGACTGCCTAGGTCTTCCTAGCTTCCCTTCGGGCTTACCATCAATTATAGTCGTTATTCATGTATTGTTTCTTATGAGATGTCCTATCCACTTCTTTCTTCTCTCCGCGATTGTCGTCTTTATTGATATTTTTCCATTTATCCTCTGATACACTTCTTCATTAGTCACTCGTTCTGTCCAAGAATTTGTTTAAGATCCTTCGCCAACAAAGTAAAAATGTTTAAATATTTTAACCAAAATAGTAATTTTAAAGTAATATACAATAGATATGTTTAACATACACATGTTAGGCTAACGGTTATACCAGATAAAAGTACATATCCGACACTTCAGAATCCATGTTAATAACATTATAATTTTCTAATAAGTGATCCATCAACAGTTTGAATTCGATTAATTTGTATTAGCGCGCCACACAAAAGTAAACATTCCAAGTTCAATACCTCTGTTAGCAGACGTCCAAAGGTCAAATATGAAACCATTCTATCGTATCCAACTATTTAACGACTTATTTCTAACAATATCATAATTTTTAAAAATAGACTTTTGTCCAACCAGATTTGAATTTTGACCCACTGTGCACCGCCTCTGGATAATAAGCTTGTTTGAGTTGTTTTATCATATCATACTTATGATATATACACCATAAATATGAAAACCCAAAAATTCTGATGACATAACACTATCTGTGAACCCAGTCTCAGTGAAAATAAAAATATCATGTAATGCACATACGATATGCTATTTAGTGTCCAATGAATCACGGTAGCCTGCAAACGATGCGTCAAGGGCATGAGAGAAGTATCGGGGGGCAATCAAATGCCCAAATCTGTAACCTATAGGTACTTTGACGATGGTTGTCAAATTTTAGTGCGTTTAGCCAGCCTTGGCCAACACGAAGCCCACTGCATGTACAAACCCGTGTGCTGTGTCTATCCAGGATGCCAATTTTTTTTTTTTTTTACCATTTAAGGTAATATATTATACACCTATCGTCTTGCCATTAAATCGTGATGGTTTTATGTATGACCGGATAAAGATTTCCAATGTTGTTGTTCGAGCTGATAGAAGAAATGATAATATGAAAAAGTTTCTACGAAAATTCGTTAGAAATTTGCGTTTTACACGGAAATGTACAGAGATACTTTATTTCATGAATTATATTTTATGGAAAAAAGAGTTAAGGTAAGATTGGAAATGTTTGTCTTATCGACACGCGGGAATTGATTTAAACATTTTTTAAAAGTCAACCATATTATGTGTATAAATAAAAGAAGAAATATGTTTTTTTCAGTTTGATGTCAAATTTTACAATTTAAAATACTATTGTTACAAATTAACTGACAAAAAAACTGACATTCATTTAGCGTTTGAAACATTTGTTTTTTTTCCCTTTAAGAATATATGTAGAGTTCATTTTTAGCTTCGGTGCAAATTAAAGGTATTGGTTTTACTACGATGTAGGATTTTTTTTGTGTCCGTATACACCGTAACTTTTTTAATACTGGACCAATTCCTTCGAGTAGCAACTCTAAAAATCACAAATTTTATCTAGTTGGTACATTGGACAGTAAAAGTTGTCTTCTTCACAGTAAAACATACTATTGTTACAAATTAACTGACATACATTTAGCGTTTGAAGCATTTGTTTTTTTCTTTTTAGGCTTTTTTTTTGTGTCTGTATACACAGTAACTTTTTTAATACTGGACCAATTCCTTCGAGTAGCAACTCTATAAATCACAAATTTCATCTAGTTGGTACCTTGTGGAGGTAAAAAATGAAAAAGTTTACTTCTTCACAGTTAAAATTTGAAAAAACCATACGGGTTTTTAAGTCAGAACTTTTACTGACTATAATTTCGAGAAAAAGAGTCGGATCGAGTTGAAATTTATAAGGAACATTTATTTGGTATGCACGCACACGTCAGTTGTATTAAATATAATTTATACCCATGTATATTGGATTTTATCCGAGAGGACTAGTACAGTAGAGTATAGGCATAATGGAATCAAAGCATGGAGGGGACGGAGAGCTCACAGGTATACAGGAATTATTATTAATAAAAGTGATAAAATTGAATAACATCACTTTCGACTAAACGCTTTGGTGCTTATTTGTATTTCAAAAACGACACAAGTCACAAAATTGAAATTTTACACTAGCCACAAAAAAATTCATAACTAGTTTTTTTAATTTTTAAGGTTTTAATTTCTTTAATAATTTCCTTATTTATTTCTGTTTTTATTTTTATGTAATTTCTTTTTAATTAAATACAGTAATTGCGTTTATCATTAGTTATTCAAAATATTCATAGTTTTAAATATTCAACCTTTGACCATGGCCTAAGCGATTGGTGAAAGCCACATTTTAATCAAGTTTAAAAAATAATGTAAAATGTAAAAAAAAAAGATAAGAAATACAAATCGTTTTCGCCAAACTTTTCGAGGCCAGCAAGATAAAATAGTTTTACCATAGGTACTTGAATGAACAAAATAAATACTCAATAAGTATCTTAGCGACCGATGCTTAGAAATTCGTTAGAAATATGCGTTTTACACGGATATTACTACAGAGATATTATTTTTAATGAAATATATTTCATGCAAAAAAGAGTTACGGTGAGATTGTAAATTTAAAAATGTTTGTTTTATCGACACGTTTTAATTGATTTAAACAAATTTAAAAAAACAAACCGTATGTCTAAAAACGATTGGAGAAATTATATAAAAATTAATAATTAACGTCCTAATTTTTGATTTCTATCGTTCTGATCATTTACTATGACTTTGCTAGATATTACATTTCCAAATTAAAACCATATATTCCGTTTTGGAAAAACCAGTCCAAACTTATCTTACTTCTAAGGGAAAAAATGTATTGATCTTCGATATGAATTGTAGCACTTGTTTAGTTGTGTACATAATATTATATTATAAGACTTGTTACCAGTTATAATCTTAGATTTATTTTTTAACTCTATTATAGGTTAGCACGTTGAACACATACAAACGATGTGTTTTTTAAACAAGTGTTTTGCGCTGTAATTATATATATATATATATAGTTCACACTGTAGGTATTAGTGCTTGTTGTTTTGTTATTCAAATAAAAAAATGTTGATGCAAAACTAGCTTACATATAATATGTAAAATTATATTTACATTGTATTGTTTCGTTCGACATAAAATAGGTCATTCGACAAGTCGCAAGAAAACCATCGAAGCAGCCGGTGTAACTATCATTGCAATCGTTTAAGTAAGTAAAACTTTCCAACCTTAAAAACGATAAACTCGTTCACTTTCAATATGTTTTACTAATTTTCAATTATTTTCCCCCATCTAGACCTTCGATAACATTTTTTTCCACTGGTTCTTTTGCAATACACAACCCATAAGTAAGTAATACTATCAAACATCAAACTATCAAAAGTATTGAGTACGCTTTCAAACAGATACAGATCAATTTTAGATACATTTATACGAATAATATTCCAAATATAAAATTATATTTGAAGTTTAAAATTATATTTTATATTTGGTATATGAAACATATAAGTCCATGTTTTTTTGCACAATGTTTTTAATTAAATAGATTATTAGACCAAATACCGTTTTTTTTTAAATTAAATCCTGTAGGGAGAGCTAGATTATTAAAATTTGGATTTGAGGATATTTATGTATAGGAACATGCCTGATGTTGTACGCTATGTTATAGAACGTTAACTTTGAAAGTCCAAAAAACCGAGAACTTTTCTTTGGTTATTCTCGGTTCTGGCGTTGAAGAAGTTGACTTTTTCTACTTTTGACCCACCAAAGTCACCTAAACACATATAATTTCGGTTATCTCAAGTAAATCGGGCCATAGAAATAATGTATGGTGTTGTGGATACAAAAAAAAAACCAAATCATAGGAACACCTTTACAGTTACTCATCGAAGCTAAAAAACAGCTTTGTAAATAAACCAGCAAAGTTACGCTGCAAATTATGTATTTATTTTACTGTTTTGCTGAAATATGTTTTTTACAAAAAAATGTTGTAAACATAATATAATTAAAATTTAGAATAGCGTTTATCATATGAAATTTTAATTTTTGATTTTGTATTATTATAATACACCTCAAGTTCAAGCTGTTTCTTGTTTTGTATTTTTACATAAATATTATTTTTGATAAATTAACCGTAATGTCAAAACACTTTACCTTCTTGTTAGTTAGTAGATGTTGGTATTAGTATTTTTTTTTTATAATTAAGTTTAAAAGTTTATCTTCTTATTCTTTCTCAGCTTACGGCCAATTAAGGGCCAACGCTGCCTGCCACGTGCCTCTCTATCATTCCTTTTCTCCTGTATCACCCACCTGTATCCTCATGTCGCCCATACCTCGCACCCATAAGTTAAGATGGGTCTTATATATGCTATGTACAATATTACTTTTGATTCTCTAGTCCGATTGGCGTTATTGATTCTTTGTTGTGATCTCTTGGTGCATGTCCTTTTTACTAGTGTTAACTAGTGTTTGAAGATATTGGAGGCTATTCACAAATTCAAATGTGTATTGACCTTTTTTAATATTATTATTATTAAAAATACCACCTAGAAAGTTTTCCTCTCAAGCCACTTTCATGTAGTTAGTTTTTTCCTCACTGACAATTAATCCCATTTTCTCCCCAGCTTGGATTAATTTCCTAGTAGTCTCATTTACTTCTTCTTGAGTATCTACAAGAATCGCTATATGATGAGTCCTGTACATGTATTGTAATTATGTCTATTTTTTGCAGATAAAAATGAAAATTTCCTGTATTTTATTATCATTTATCTGTGTAAATGTATTTGCAGGTATACGTAAGTATTTTATTTTCATATTTATCCACACAAGATCGTTAAAAAAAACTGTAAAATGTAATATTTATCTATTCTATACAGAAGAATATATACAAATGGTTGAGATTACAAGTCAGTAATATTTTTTTATCATACAGACTAATTTTGTGAGATTTTTAGTTTTACTATTCTTATACATATGTTTTACAAAAATGTACAACAGACACGAAAATCAAGGAAGCTTCTGACTTTAAAGACGATTTTATAAAAAGTAAGATTTAATATATAATATACATATATATATATATATATATAAATAGATATATGTATAATAATAATTATACTAATTAATTTTTGTTTTGTACTGTTTGCCTAAGTTTCAAATGACTTATAAATCAAAATAATAGTTTATATAGATGATTTCACGAGTTATAATATAGTACCAATGTGCTAAACGTTGTGTAAAATAAAGTTTCCTATACTACCTGAAAGTTAAACAATTTTACCAGTGTGATCAAGTTAAGATCTTCTGAACAAAGTTACTTACACACAACTCCTCAGTAAATGGATGAATTCATCTCCTCTTAATTATTTTCCTCGACAAGGAGAGTAATTTTTTCTAATAATTTGGAAATGTGTTTTGATTGGAAATATTAGACATTTTCTATAGGTCAAACCTTTATTTGTTTGCAGATGGATTGGAGCATGTATTTACAGCCATTTTGGATGAAAACAAATATCCAATGAGTAATTATAATTATATGATAAGAAAAGAATAAAAAATTCTTATAAGATAATAGAAGAAATGTATACAAAAAACATCGAAAATTCAACCTTAACCCGTTCAATGCCACTGTGTTTTACACACTGCAACACGTCCCATCCATCACTAGTATATTAGTAACCTTTTTCGTACTCCTTTAATAATTAAATAGGATTTAGTAACACGTCCTAAGCAGTGAAAGGGTTAAGGAAAATGTTCAGTGATATAAATCTTATTTTATCTTATTCTACTTGCCCATAATATGATTCAGTTCAGCCACTGTATTTCCATTGGGTTTTAAACTTATTCAATTTAACTGAGCTAAGCATTATGTTCCCAATTATTAATACACATATTATTGTTCTTACTTTTTCCACTCTGGTTTATGTTTGAATAGTAAATAAAATTTAATACCATTTATGTATGTATTGCTAATTTCAGAGTATTTGTGTTGGATGTTCATTGTGCCGGGTAATAACTTTAATCGCAATTTTTGGAAATATTTCCACACAGTCGTTCGATAATCATTAATTTTACAAAGTTTTTGCTTCAATTTCAGAACGTGCAGTAATTCGCCACTTTTTTATAACACCAAGTAATTAATTATTACCTTTACCTATATATTTCATATTTCATAATTACAATGCTTCACACAGACTTATAATATGTACAATATTTGCTTATATTACATGAAATATGTACATTTGAGTTTATTTAAATTTAAATTTTAGATTCCATGGCGATACAAGTACAATTGCAAGAACATATATTTGCGTCAACTGGTAAATATAAAATTTTCATTTTTTTAGCAAACAATTTTCAAAATTGATAATTACTTTATTAATAATAACAGAAAAAATCGGATTATAATACAATTCAGTGTAAAGAAAACATTCATTCAAACGTTGCTATAGAAAAAATTTTATGTTAACAATATTATATTTTGTTTTAATTAATTGGTCAAATGAATAAGCTTTTAAAGTGACTATTATGGATAAATAAACCAGCATGGTTCGATGAACTGTATACTTATTTTATATTTTTGTTACAGGTATTCCTATGCATGCTGAAACAGCAAATAGTAATTACAAAGTTGTTTATCAGTAATAAATAGATGTAAATATTTTTTTTTGTTCGCACAATAGTAACAATACAGTATGATCCACTTATCGTGAACCACTCAATATCTCACAGGGTTTAATAAGAAATTACAATTTTTTTTTCATATTGTTTTTATACAATGTGATCTCAATTTTTCACAATTTTTTTGTTATTTCTCCCCTTCCAACTTTAAACTTAACACTGTATTTTGCTTTGACTAATTGATCAAATTAATATGATTTTAGAGTGACTGTTAATGCATAAATAAAACAACCTGGTTCGATTAACTGTGTAATTATTTTGTATTTTTGTTCCAGTTCTTTCTATTCATGATAGAACAAAGCAACGTAATTACAGAGGTATTCTTTTTAGTATTAAATAGAATTTATGGCTTGATTGAATAATAACATTTTGTTTATAAATTGCTGTGTTTACACAATAACTACTATAAAGTAAATTTTAGTCGAGGAGATTATATTTACGGTAATATTTTGAACAACATATATCGGTTTTTAACATTTCACCAGAAAATCAAACTATAAACAGTACAATCATCTGTTGTCAAGACGTCTTAAGTCAACAAAGACTCTAACTCGACAGACAACATGTCATGCTAGTTCTTGCAGTTGGACATTATATCGAATAAAAATTGGTTGGAACGATGCTCCTGATGTTTTTTTACCACATCTTTTCGCACGTTGCTTCACACTTTTTTCATACTCATTCTCTATTTCAAGTTCTTACATGTACCACATCATTTGACCACAACCATCCTATTTATAGAATGTTGCACAGTGCCAAAGTTTCTTGTATAGATTTTTTAATCAAGTTTGGTCTGAACAATCGCTTGGTTAGTTTTCTACTCAATTGTCGAGTGTCTTAATTTTATATTCTTAGCCTTAGCCGTTTTTATTGTAATTTTCTATTTTGTATTAATGTTACAATGCGTTTTCTATCATTGTATCATACCGATTTTTATACTGTATATTGTACATTGTATGTGATATTTATGTAGACTGGCGAAATAAATGCGTATTAGGGCTTTACATAACAAAATAAAAAATAAATACAAATATAGCTATTAATAAATATTATATTATTAACCCGGTTGTATATAAATCTATCCAGATATAGAAGATTTGAATTTGTCCCCACTTGAAAAGGCGAAAAGACATGTTAGCGTTAAACTTGTCAAAAATATGTATAACAATTTATTCGGTGAGTGTAAATATAGTTTTAATGGTAATACTTTTTTAATAACATACATTTTTTACAGGGTGATTCATTATAGATAAAACAATAAATTTATTTTTAAGTATTTGATATATTGTGGTTTTAATTTTTAGGGACACGATTTAATTTTTTTTTATTTTTCAATTTATCGGTTTAAATTAATAATACATTTGACATTGATAATTGGAACTGTTTTTTTATATTTTTGTTACAGAATATGATGGCCGTTATGATTTATACGAAAATGATTACAAAAATAGTTAGTAGTGTATATAACTTATGGCTCGTTTAAAAGATACATTTTGCTTTACATATTCTTTTGTTCACACAATAATTACTACCTATTAAGTAAACCTTTAATTTTAATTTTTACACCCCTTCTATGCTTCATCAATGATATTGTTTTACCATATCTATTCATATACCTTTTCCCTCTATTTGTACTGATTTTGGCGTTAAATTTCAAAATAAAATACTTAATACGATTATATTAATAAATATTATTAATATAATATTTTATATTAATATTATAATGGTTTCAACTCAGTTATACACAAATACATTTATGCAGGTAAAGAAATTAAGAAATTGAACAAACTTGGAAAAGAGAGAAGACGTTATACTGGAGAAATTATAAGAAATGCACTTACCAATAAATTAGGTGAATAAAAATTTAGAGTTTTAATGGTATTACTTTTTATAATTGAAAATTTGTGGTTTTTTTTTTTTGAGACACTTTAATTTTGTTTTTTACAATACTAAACAATATTAAAAATGTTTTGTTATTTTTTTCAAGAACCCTAGCAACAAGAATAGTTTGGTAAAAGTGTTGACTAGCCGATAACTAGTTTTGAATAATTTTTCTTATTGTAAATTTACTGAAGTTTAAAATTTAGGATAAGAGATGGCATTCTGTAGATTATAATAACACTTCACCCTTTCACCCGTTCTGTTAATAAATTTGAAAACCAGTCAAAGTTATCTTAAAATGGAAAGTTATCTTATTTTTACACACATTTATTTTAATTATATTGATTTTATTTTATTTTTCTTAGCGTGTTTATGGAGAACACGGTTTGAAATTTACATATTTAATGTACAATTTTTCAGCTTTCTAAAAAAAGTATTAAAAATATTCTCAAACTATGGCATGCAACTTTTTAGATTATAAATTCATTTTTAAATAACTTTGCGTTATTCGAAAAAAATAATCATAATTTTTTTTAGAATGCTGAGATAATTTTACAAAATTAACTGATTATAAAAAATTGTTTGATGATTTCATAAAAAAAAAACGATTAAAAACAAAAGCAAAGATAAAACTACTATTTTATACGACCATAGCAGTATTTAAATTGATAAGAAAAATCAAAAAAAATTTGAGAACACTCTTTTTAGGGTAACAGTCATACAGTGTAAGTTTCAAAAAGGTCCGCTGGTGGTGGGGGGGGGGGGGGGGGTTAGTGCGCCAAACGTTGGTTCATATTTAACGTTTTGACATATTAAATATAATTGTATTACTTGTCTAATTTAAGTTTGGTAATTGTGTCTTGGAAAATAGTGGCCAGTAATTAAAATTTGGCAATTTTTAACAACCATTTTCTGTTTTTTTTTTTAGCTGAAAAGTCATCGAATGACAAGACAGATGTACTGAGAATTTGTGATTTGATTGCAATGTGGATTAGTGTAAAAACGTCTTCAATAACGTATAATCGTATGAACTCTGATGTTTGTGTAATATATGATGAAGCCTTTGAGTATTATAAATACAAACCATCTAACGGCAAATATGTTGAAGTATTCATCACTGACCATGATGTTATAGTAGGAGAACTAAATGAACAACTCAAGGCACCACTATTTGAAGAAACAAACAGCGATGACGATTTAGACTAGTAGTCAAATGTATACATTTCTTTAAAATTATAAATAAACAAATAAATCATTTTTTTCATACTGCACCAACATCCGAATAATAATTGTCAATTAATGTAATTGTTTTTTTTTTCTAAAATAAACCGTTTTGCTCACCGTTATAAACACATTTGTTGCTTAATTTGACCGGAGGTGTGTTTTATGGCTTAGTTGGTTCCCAATGAAGGATGGTAGACTTTCGCCGGACTGTTTATTGCCCGAAGAAAGATAATAATATAGTATCAACAAGTGACAATATTACCATTTATAAGAACTACTATTGTATTATGGTTTTCATAATTCATAGTTATTTTCATATTGTTCTAAGTTGACCACAAAGGAAAATGCGTTTATTAATATTTTTTTTAGATTGGTATCTACAATTTCATCGTACTAAATTAATATAATTAAAATATTTTAACATTGATAAGTTTGAAAAAGTAACTTATTTGTTTACATTATTCTCCAGCAGAATGGGAAGAAAAACGAAATAACGGTTAGAATTCAAACTACCATTTTATATATAGGTAAATGTATATCATATATATTAAGGTAATTAAAACCAATGCTTTTTTTTGTGTTCTCCTCGTGACAAGTGTGTTATTTTAGAACAAAAACAATTTCTAACAAATGTTGACTTTTAGGTTGATTTGATATAAAGTAATCACTATTAAAGCCAACAATCCGGTCTGGAACCACAATACGTTCACACGATATCTTCATAACATCCAATCAAAACTTACATTAGTTATTTCAGTTATCATAAATCAATTATATCTGTCTTGGCCATAGAATTAGAAAATTACTACAACATGTAAATACGGCCTAATTGTTTTGTAAAATAATGCATAAAAAAATAAATAATAATTAATTTCAATTAAAAATAACTTTTTTATGTGTATTTTATCATTTTATTCCAAATTACACTACAAACCTGTTTTTTCCATTTTAGCATGTGTGCAGGATCAAGATAAATAAATAATTTTTCATTATATTTGTTGATAATAAAAGCTTCAGGGTTATCAACATCAAAATTAGCTCCTAAATTTTTCAGAATGTGGTGGAATGATGTACTAACTCGTGTATCAGAACTAATAGGTGTAGGATCTTTCGCATACGATTTTCGGATTACTGAAATACAAGTTATTGTACAAAGAGAATTGGATACAGTGGAATGAAAGGGCAATGAAGAAACGTAAAGTAAAGGGACCTTGCTGTGGAACGTGTGTTCATGTTTAGCTATGACATAAGTTATGGAGCTAGATCTATTAAACACGAAGTGGAAAGCTCTGTTGGCTCAAGCCCACGAGAAGGGAGTTATTATACAAAAAGGCAGAAATAAAACTTGACGTAGACTTGACGTCAAAAGCGATCGTGGACAGTCTTGCACGAAATGTATAAGTATAGAGGAACAAACTTATCTTAGTTACCAAAATTTACACGTCAGTATATAGGAATTTTAAATTAGTGTATAAATAAGAAAATATTTCAGGGTTTAGCCTGCCTTGGCCAACACGAAGCCCACTGCATGTACAAACCCGCGTGCTGTGTCTATCCAGGATGTTAATTTTTTTTTTTTTTATCATTCAAGGTAAATATTTTGGTAATATATTATATACTTATCGTCGTCTTGCCATTACACCGTGATGATTTTTATGTCTTTCGACACACTTGACCAAGCATGAAGTCAACGTTTAGCTTCAAGTTTTGGCAGCATGTTTTTAGACATAATCGACCAAGTGCAGGAGGTCGTTATTAGCGTTTACAGGTCGGAATGTCTTCCAACATCAATGACCGTGTACTACTCGCTTTTATCGATTTCCAATGTTGTTGTTCGTGCCGATAGAAGAAATGATAATAATATGAAAAGACCCAGAATAATTTTCCTAAAACAATATCTTTGGTCCACATGATACAGCCCCATTCGAAATGTTTGGGCTGTTATTATCAGATCCAAAATTATCATCGACTGAAATTTTGTTAGTTTTGGAGCGAATCGAGGAGTTGTTAGCTTTATTAATAGTAGGCGAACCGTTAAAAGATGTCATATGTTTGTAAAAAAACCCAACATTGTTGACAATAGCCAATCACGACCGTTGGCAGGCAATGCGAGACTGGATACCAACTTACTAAGATTGTATTTACCGCATACGTGTGTGGTATTGGTATATTAATTAGAAAACAATTTGGTTAAGTTTTGGTAATTTTGTTTTAGGTGTAACAAAATCATAGACAAATACCTTTTCAATATTCAAAAATGATTTAGGAAAGTCCCAGAGCATCAATTTTTGGCCTTTGACTTTTCTAATGTACATGAAAAAAAAAACAAATGGACAACATGAACACAAGAGCGCGGAATAGCTCAACAAGGTCATTTTGGAAACGATGAACAAATTGTTATATGTAGTACCGCGTTGTTACGTTGGTACATTGTTGGGCTATGGTGGGCGGTACGTATTGAATGGCATTAACCTTGTATTTTTGTATTATATTGAATTGGGCTTGTATAATTATAGAAAAATTGGCAGCCAACCTAACATAAATGTCGACAGAGATATTTTGGGTGGATAGCGGTTCGAATCCGTAATCCAATTGTTAATTGTTACATATTTTTAATTTTGTTATATTGCTTTATGTAAGAGATGTGATACACGTAAACGCAGAAAAAAAGTCAAAACTCTAACACCTAGAGTAATTTTCAAGTACATAAATTTACTCAACACTTGCTTCAGAGTTTCCACAACTTGTTGACCACAACTTTGAATGTGAACACAATAACACATTAAGGACACATTATAGACCTTAATAATGTTAAAGATAAATTTAACGTTCAAAATATTTGAAAAACTACATTTTACATTATACATAGTATTTATATTTTATCTAGCAATATATTGACTTATACATACGTTAAAGTCCATTATTGTTGGTTAATTTTCCGGTTAAACTAAAATTAAAATAAAGTACATCATTTTTTTTAATTTTAAGAAAAATCTCAACTAGCATTACATTTATTTGCAAATCGAACAATTTGTGTGTTTTTAAATGACAAACACAATTAAATAACAAACACAGTTTATCGCCATAGAGACAAACCAAAATTCTTGGTCTATAATAAAAAATATTTGGCTTAAAACAATTCATTGAGAATTTGGGCCCTTAAACTGTTTTTAATTTATTATTTAGTTCTAATTTGAACGCACAACATATCTCTTATCTCTTATCTCCCACCCCGAGTCCCCCTTCCCTCCCTTGTTTCCATCTATGTCCGCCACAAGTACCACCTCCATTAAATAATAGTCACCACAGCGGTCCTTTTCAGTCACTTACACCAACCAAATGACCTCCTCCATCATCCTCCCCTCAACAACAACAACAACAACAACTGCAACAACAGACGCCTTATCCACAGATGCCTACCCGAATCAGCAACAGCAAGCACCACACACTGATCGACAACAGCAACAGCAGCAGCAACATCACCCGTCGCCCACTCCGCAGCAATTGCAGCCCCCTCAGCAACAGCAATGGCACGGTACTGAATCCATAAATATTTCAATAACTCTAGATTATAAATTTATTTTGAAATTTGTTTGCTCTTAACGTTGTGTTATTAAATAATAGTAAATAATAATAATGATGTACAATTATTATACAGTGCAAGTTGAAAATAAAGTGATTTATTTTTTACCGTATAAACTTTTAGAATGATATCAAACACAAAATATTATGTTTTTCATTCCGCTCATAGACATCAGATCATTATCAAAGTTTGTAAATAATGAAAGAAATCAGCCTGTATAATAATAAAGAGTAAAAAATCGTACAATCATTTATGTGTTTTACTTACAAGAAGACATTTTAAGTAAAACAAGATAACATTGCGGTCCATAATATAAACAAACTTTACTCAATAATTGTAAACGATACAGTAAATTATGATTTATGTGGTAACGGACTAGAATTAAAATTAATAAGAAATTGTATCAAAGAAACATGGTCATGCCTCAAAGTGCTCGGTCTTCTAAGTTTCTGTATGCGATTGATGAAAACCACATCTTAAACAAGTTTACAAAACAATGATAGTTGTAAAAAAAATTAATAAAAGAACACAAATCGTTTTCGCCAAACTTTTCGGGGCGAACAAAATAAAATAGTTTTACCGTATTCGAATGGATAAATTAAGATAAGTACTCAATAAGTATCTTAGCGATCGGTGCTTAGAAACTCGTTAGAAATTTGCGTTTTACACGGAAGTCGGTAATGTAAAAAGATTCTTTTTTTTCATGAATTATATTTCATTTAAAAAAAAAAGTCACGGTGAGATTGGAAATTTGGAAAAGAACATTTTATCGGCACGCGGGAATTAATTAAAATTTTTTTTAAAAATGAACCGTATTTGTATAAATAAAGGGAGAAATATGTTTTTTCAGTTTGATGTCAAATTTTACAATTTAACATACTATTGTTACAGATTAACTGACATACATTTAGCGTTTGAAGCATTTGTTTTTTTCTTTTTAGGCTTTTTTTTTGTGTCTGTATACACAGTAACTTTTTTAATACTGGACCAATTCCTTCGAGTAGCAACTCTATAAATCACAAATTTCATCTAGTTGGTACCTTGTGGAGGTAAAAAATGAAAAAGTTTACTTCTTCACAGTTAAAATTTGAAAAAACCATACGGGTTTTTAAGTCAGAACTTTTACTGACTATAATTTCGAGAAAAAGAGTCGGATCGAGTTGAAATTTATAAGGAACATTTATTTGGCATGCACGCACACGTCAGTTGTATCAAATATAAATTATACCCATGTATAATGGTTTTTATCCGAGAGGACTAGTACAGTAGACTATAGGCATAATGGAATCAAATCATAGAGGGGCGGGAGCTCATATGTCTACAGGAATTATCATTATAATAAGTGATAAAATTGAATAATATCACTTTTGACTAAACGCTTTGGTGCTCATTTGTTTTTCAAAAACGACACAAGTCACAAAATTGAAATTTTACACTAGCCACAAAAAACTTCATAACTAGTTTTTTT